GTGCAATCGATGGAAACGGCATCGGGTGGCGGATGGAGAACGGCCGGACGAGCCGGACCCGCCAGTGCAATCATCACCACAATGCCTAATTTTGCAAATCAGTGAGAACAATGAGACGTCCTCTGAGTGAGAACAATGAGACGACAATTCTCGAATTCAAGAACTAAATAGGTAACTTGATGATGTAGCAATGAGAGGATGGTTAAAAACGCAAAATGTGAAGCCAAAAAAGAGATGATGAAAAGCGAAAGTTGATTTGAAAACTTTAAAACTGATTTGAAACTACAAAAACTTTCAAACAGATAATTTACGCTTTTCAGACTCTAGATCTTGTTATTTCTATTTTGGCCCAAAGTTTCTCACCAATTGGTAATAAAGTTTGGAAAGAAATACCAGAAGAGAAGATCCTAAAGCTATTCAAAACATTAAAACAAAAAGTTTATCCAAGGAAGAGTCGAACTTGAGTGCTATAAAATTAAATGAAAGAACTAAAGTTAACTAAGGGAAGGGAGTTCAATTCAAATTTGCGGCACATTCGAATTAACTGCGCGTAAAAACATGTACCATACAGGTAGTAAAACATTTTGATGGGGATATGGTGAGAGGAGTAGGCGGTCGATTCATTCCTTTGGCGACACGAGTCGATGGACATGCATCATTAAGTTGTGACGTGGATCAAAAATGTCTAGCTTTGCTTGAGCAATTGTTTCTTAAAAACGAAGTATCGGATCAGATGAAGTTTTGACTCATAAGGATAAGGACAAATATTTAATTGTTATTGACAAAAAATTCCGGAGAGACTGATGTTTTGGTTGGTTAGGAAATTGAAAAGCAATGAAGTTGAGAGTCCTACTCAAATTTGTCGCTTTGGAAGTGTCTTACAATCGTGTTGGTTTAACAGAATGCAGAAAACTATCTAAAGTTGAAATCATTTTAAATTCGAATAGCAAACCATCATTTGAAACTATTTGGTTGGTGAATTGAAGACTGCGGGCCATTGTCATATGTGACAGTTTGACACTTTCTTCAAAAGAAACCCATTTTGGTGTCAATGGAAAAGTTGAAGAGAGAATCAAAAATCAAGCATATCCAGAACTTTTCCAAGAACGATTCAAAAGCTGGAGTTTCAAGAAATGTCAAATTTACGAATTTTCACAAAGCTTGCAACAAATCTTGCATTTTAAGCGAAACTTCTAAGTGTTTCTTTTTGGAAATTTAGGTATAAGAAAGCCTAATTTTTGATTCTCTCCAACTTTTCTATTGACACCAAAATGGGTTTCTTTTTTGAAGGTCGTGCTCAAACTGGGATCTCCAGTCTCCATCTCCAGTCCTCCATTTTTGAGTCTCACACTTTATCTCACACACAAACCAAAATCCTACTACGAAAGAGGAATCCTGAAATTGCCTGTAAAATGGGCAGAAGTCGTCCATAATAATGGAAATTATTTGGAATGAATTCATGGTTTTATGTTGAATAAATTTTAGTTCAAAGTCCCGCAGTTTTTCAATTCACCAACCCAATAGAAAACTGAACGAGCAATATGTGGATTGACTTTTCCCTGTACTGGAAATCTTAACGAAATCTGGAAGCTTGCACAGACTAATTGTCAGTGAAAATCTAGGTTATCAATATAATGAGAAATCTCTAAAAACAAAGTTCTGCGCTTTTAAAAGTTTGACGATTCATTTCCATGGTTTCTTTAACCTTGAATTGTGAATAGTTAACTCCTTTTTTAAATAAAATAAAATAAAATATTTATGCCAAATTTCGAATCAAGAAAATTGAAAAAAATACATATTGAATACATAGAATAAATAAATTATTAGTTATGAGAACATTAGGAAATCGGAAGGGAGACAAGTAAGAAATGTAGGAAGGGAGAAATGAGGGGAATTCAGAAAACCCTAACTTCATAAGCTAACATTTTGATGGAAGCGCAGTCATTTTGTCACTACCCGGTCATTTGATCATAATAGTCGACATTTCCATCTTTCGATTCCTCGGTTTTCACCTAGAAATTTGTTTTGACTTGCTTACAAAAACTCGAATTCTTGAGCTTTTCCTTGTTCGACCTTTTTAATGCCAGCATGAAGCATCTGGCACCACTAAAGCTCTTGTTTTCCGATGGAATTGGTGTGCCAGATGATCAAAGACCCCGTCGAAAAGAGGATCAAGTGATCCCAGAAGGCAATCTTCAGTGAAAATCGGTCAAAGGCGTCCGACTCTAGATCACAGTCGACTCTAAGATCTGATCGACTCTAGATCTGATCGACTCTAGAATCTGATCGGACTCTAGATCTGATCGACATCTGGATCCTAGAATCGACTCTAGATCTGATCGACTCTAGATCTGATCGACTCTAGATCTGATCGACTCTAGATTTGATCGACTCTAGATCCTGATCGACTCTAGATCTGATCGACTCTAGAGCTAGATCGACTCTAGAGCTGATCGACTCTAGATCTATATACTGCCGTTCGAGAGTTCGAATCCCTCCCGTGGAATGTTTTTTTGACTCTTTGGATAAACATTTTGGATTTAGAAATCATCCAACATTAGATTTCAATTTTTAAACTTACATAAGATTACAATATGGCAATTTGAGTCCTATACTAATTGGGGACGCGAATGGGCGCAAATGAGCGCAAATGGGCGCAAAAGGGGCGCAAATGGCAAGGGAAGTTTGCATTTAATGCGCAAGTTTATTATGTTCGAGATTTTCAAACACGCTGAATCGAATAAAGAAACATGATAAATAACTACTCCCACCACTCAACATCTCCATTTATTCTTGATTCCAGCTGGCCTACAAGTACAATGATATGATTAGAATGATTAGAATGATAGATTAGAATGATTTTCTTGATTCTTTCTGGATTCTTGAATGAAACGAGTTCTTTTCTTGATTTCGTTGCCGTTAGCATATACTTTTAGCTTCATTTCATTGTTGCAGTTGGGACAATTGCTTGATCTCCCCAGAAAAGTCCTCGTTCAGCTAGTCGAAGCGTCAAAATCATCATCAGTATTTATTGCTAAGTTAGGCCACTCCGTCAAAAGATTGAACGCACGCAAATCTTGCTTAGCTGCAGCAGCATTAGCCGGCTACCTGGAAAACCCGAATTTCAAGTTAAATTTTTATAAGAGTTTTCACAAACGAGTTACATAGAGTCCAAAAGGCCTCAACATAATTGGACACGTCTGTGAAAATTTGATTTGGCTGTATTTCTTGAATAAATGCTTCTTTTCACTCTAAACTTTTAAAAACACAGAAATTAGATTTGATTCTTTGCATTAACGCGTTGAGATTGGTAGCTTTTTATGATGATAAAGAAATACGGCCAAATCAGAATTTTGACAGGCGCGTCCAATTATGTTTTGTCGTTTTGGACTCTATGTAACTTGTTTGTGAAAAGCTTTTATAAATCTAACTTGGGATTCGGATTCTTCGGGGTAGTTTTACGTAATGGGCAACCTAATCGGGCAACTTTTGGGCCAAGACTCATTTTCTTAAGATGAATTTGATTGAATTTGATTGAATTTGATGATTCAGACCTCTAAAATTGGCCAATTTACATTGGAAATGGGTTAGTTCAAAACTTTTGTTCCGCTACTTTACTAATTATGGAGGAGGGGCAAATGAGCCTGGTCAAACGTGAAATTTGCATTTAACGGACAAGTTTTTGTATTTTCCAGGTTTTCAAACACCCTAAATCGCGAATGCAAACATTTCCAAATCCAAGCAAATGATTTCTTATGATTTCAAAGTTTACTTATGATTCAAAGCTGATGATGTTTACCGGGGACTCATTTTCCTAAGATGAATTTGATTGAATTTGGATGATTCAAACCTCGAAATTTCAGCCAATTTACAATCGAAATGGGGGTTAGTGCAAAACTTTTGTTCCGCTACTGTATAGCACCCAATTTGTGCTATAAGATATCTTAGAAAATGGAGTTCAGCATTACTAGACGGTAATCTTTTGCTACGGTAATCCCTTGCTATGGTAATCCTTTGCTATGGTAATCCTTTGCTACGGTAATCCCACTTGCTATGGTAATCCTTTGCTATGGTAATCCTTTGCTACGGTAATCCCTTGCTATGGTAATCTTTTGCTACAGGTAATCCTTTGCTACGGTAATCCCTTGCTATGGTAATCCTTTGCTACGGTAATCCTTTGCTATGGTAATCCCTTGCTACGGTAATCCTTAGCTATGGTAATCCTTTGCTACGGTAATCCTTTGCTATGGTAATCCCTTGCTATGGTAATCCTTTGCTACGGTAATCCCTTGCTACGGTAATCCCTTGCTATGGTAATCCTTTATGCCATGGTAATCCCTTGCTATAGTAATCCCTTGCTACGGAAATCCCTTGCTACTGGTAATCCTTTGCTATGGTAATCCCTTGCTATGGTAATCCCTTGCTACGGTAATCCTTTGCTACGGTAATCCTTTGCTAACATTTAGCAAACCTACGACTTTACCCTCTATGAAATCGGATTTTAAATGAGAAATGGAAATAGGGCTTCTAGAGGCTGGCTGGAAAATTATGTTCGCCTCGTTTTCTTTTCATTGACAGCGCTCTGCGAACATTTTCGAAGAAGTTTATGTTTAAAAAGTAGCTAAGGATTTATAGTTTTTAAAAATCAAAACCGTTTTCCGAAATTTCTTCCTAGTTTTTTAGTTATGCTCTTTCAAAAAAAGGTCTACTGCTTAAATTTAGAGTTTATTTAGCTTTGAGGTTGAAAAATGCTATTGAAAGAAGTACGGAAAGTCATTTTTGTGTAGTACAGTCTACAGTCTACAGTCTACAGAGGACTGTAGACTCGTTTCTTACCTGACATTTCGTCCCATAACAATAATCAGCCGATATCCGCAATCGATCCTTTTCGAAAACCAAATCCACCGCGTGTTGTTCGAAATCGAAAATGATTGGAAAAGCCATTCCCCTAAAATGCCATTCCACTTTTCGCTTTCTAACGAATTCTCTGCAACAAAAACCTTCATCTTTTCTCCCATTTCATCATTTAGCACCAATTCGATGAGCGCGTTCACCAAGAACTCCAACGAATTCGCATCGATTCCCTCAACCGTTGACGAGACCTGGAAAAATGTTTTGGTCGATGTAAGCTAGTCGAAGCTTTCAAAAGTCGATTTAATCCGGGATATCGATGCTGTTTTATTTTGTTTTATCTTCTATTAGCAAGCTTCTATTAGAAAGCTTATTTTTGCACCTACATCTGTCAATTTGAACTTGTCAATGCGCAATTTCGCCTTGAAAACATAATCCAGAAACTTCGGCTCATCGTATTTCACCTCAACAGCCATGTTCGCTGTCAGGAAAGCGACGGGTTCGATCGGGTTGCTGAAAAAAAAAAGTAAAATAAGTTCTAGATCTTTTAGAGCCAAACTGTAATTACATAATCACAGAAAAATAGATAAAGATCATTGCTCTTGTGACGAATCTCAAGCTTGCTCAAAGCTTCAAAGTTTTAAAGCTTCAAAGCTTCAAAGCTTCAAAGCTCAAAGCTCAAAGCTCAAAGCTCAAAGCTCAAGCTCAGCTTGTTCAACTCCAACTGCAAGCTCAGCTTGTTCAACCCAACTGCAAGCTCAGCTTGTTCAACTCAACTGTAAGCTCAGCTTGTTCAACTCAACTTGTAATCTCAACTTGTTCTACAGCACAAAGCCTAGCATAGACAAATCCGGCTTTTCACACATAAATAGTCTTGAAGTCAATCATTTTAGCTCATTTAGCTCATTTAGCTCATTAGCTCATTTCTCTTTACCTGTACATATGCGTCGATCTTGTTGTCCACATAAATGATCGCTTTACCATCGTTTAAGACAAGACGTGGATAGGATGAGGTGTGCGGGATTTGATCACCACCGAACCGGCAGCGAATTTCTCTTTCAGTGCTGAAATGACAATGGTCAAAAGGGTTGATAATGATTTGACTGATGATTGATAATGATGAATGAGTGCGCTATGAAAGGTATGCTTATGCGGCAAGTTTATGCGGAAAGCAAGAAATCTACTGTACTCTCTTTATGCCACTTATGGGATTACTTAAATTCCAGGTTGGCTTAGCTTCCAGCTTCCAAGCCTCCAAGGTTTCAAAGCGTTTTTATATCAATCTATCGTTTTTATATTCCGTCGTTGACTGCCTGCATGGCCGACTGGCTAAGAGCTCTGTATCTTACAAGGTAAGGTCAACTGGCTGAACGAAATGCTATGCGACCTATACCATTCAACGCAGAGTTTGATGCTGATTCCGAATATGTATTCCGTTTTTTAAATGACAATCTACCAGGAGTTATAAGCGTCTAAAGTTTTGTTAGTACTCTGAAAATGTGGTTATTTGGGCCTTAGGGGCCTCCTTGCGGTCATTTGGGTCTTAACCATCTTCAGTGCGGTCGTGATCGAGTGGTACAGCTTTCGTTTCCAATGCGAGACCTCACAGGTTCGACCTAGTAAACACTTCTTGAAAAGAAGCAAGAAGAGAGATCCAAAGTAGGGGTCGAACCTGTGAGGTCTAGCTCTGGAAACGAGCGCTATACCACTCTAAGAAGGCCTGCAAGTAGGCCTGCGCTAAAGAAGGCCTGCAAGTAGGCCGCTTAAGACCCCATGGATTTGTTAGGACTCTGAGAATGGCCACATTCTTAGAGTCCGAACAAAACTAGACGCTTATAACTCCTGGTAGATTGTCATTTAGCAAAAACAGAATACGTATTCGGAATCAACATCAAATTCTGCATCGAATGGTATGGATCGCATAGCATTTTACCGGCTCAGCCAGTTGTCCTGCCCTTGTTAGTCAGGTCAAGGGTTCAATCCCTGCTAGATTCTTGGTTCTCCATAGCTATCCATATGAATAAATGTATTTCTTAATCAATTTCCCAAAAGAAACTATTCATCGTCATCTAGTTACCTGGGAAAATCGTGCCCGCACAAATATCATCCTTTCCACAATCCGTCCTCAAATACCCAGCCAGAGCCGAGTTATTTTGAGCTGTTTTTGAGATCTCATAGTCGAATTTTCTAAATGTGAAATGAATGGGGGAAACTTTGGATAGATTGCCAATGACAAAGGGGACGAGGCGCGTATGTCCCACCTTTTATACGCGCCCCGCCCCGCCCCAATAACCATAAACCAAGCCAGCCTTGGTTTATGGTTATTGGACTTTTATTCACGCCCCGCCCCCTTTGCTATTGGCAATCTAACTTTGAACTCAAATAGCTTGATGTTGGGCTGTGTAATTTAAATAGCTTTTGTACCAATCGATAGAGAAAGACTTGGTGCATCTAATTATACCAAAAAATGTTTAAATTGAACAATCCAGCACCAAGAAATTTAAGATCTTTAAGATCTTTTATACCTATATTGATCCATCCAAAATAGTAGACTTCCTAGTGTGTAGTTGCTAATTAAAAAGTCGACCATGCGACCGCTTTCCGCCTCGACCTCTAGGTTCCCAGCTCGGAATGGCAATCGGAAATCGTTTAGTCTTGTTCTTCCTAAATGAAGTGTCAATTTGCATGTTGTATTTTCAAAATATGCCTTTGATTTAATGATAAAATTGCAAAAATCCTTGTCAAAATGTCTCAAAATGTCTCAAAATGTGTCAGAATGTTTCAAAACGTCGCAAAATGTCTCAAAATGTGTCAAAATGTGTCAAAATGTCGCAAAATGTGTCAAAATGTGTCAAAATGTGTCAAAATGTCTCAAAATGTGTCAAAATGTGTCAAAATGTCTCAAAATGTCTCAAAATGTCTCAAATGTCTCAAAATGTGCCAAAATGTCTCAAAATATCTCAAAATGTCTCAAAACGTCTCAAAACGTCTCAAAATGTCTCAAAATGTGCCAAAATGTCTCAAAATGTCTCAAAATGTCTCAAAACGTCTCAAAACGTCTCAAAATGTCTCAAAATGTCTCAAAATGTGTCAAAATGTCTCAAAATGTTTCAAAATGTGTTAAAATGTGTCAAAATGTGTCAAAATGTGTCAAAATGTGTCAAAATCCTTTGTCTCACCTTGTCTCAAAATGCCGAAAGTGTTTCCACGATGTTTCAACAAAATCTTATCGCTGTCGAATTGAACAGGTCCTAAAGAATGATTTTCTTATATAAATAACGATCTTTTGCATGTTCTAATTCATAATTAAATACCTAAAAGCCCATAGTTGATGAAAAATTGATCAAAAAGTGATGCAGAAAGCGGGGTGTTCATTAAACGATTCGAGACCACCGGTACCAATTCCGAATGGAAAGATGGGCAAATGATCTGGAAAAACAAAGACAATCATCTGCTTTTCTCTGCTTGTGATTCTGCTTGTGATTCTGCTTGTGGTTCTGCTTCTGATTCTGCTTCCCAAGTACATACCTGATCCAAATTAGCATTGAGATACTCTTGAACTTGAGGCCATTCCTCGCCGAGTTGCCCAATATCGCTAGCTGCCAGCTGGAGTGTCCCGGAACCGCCGCTTACCTAAAAGCTTACTGTAGTCTACTAGAAGCTTACTGTATTCTACTAAAAGCTTACTGTAGTCTACTAAAAGTTTACTAAAATCAATATCTAATAGCAGATTGTCCATAGTAAAATGCTACCTTACTACCTTATGTAGCAAAGAGATCCAAAAACTTGTATGCCAAATATCTCACGATAGAGAAGCTTCTAGAAGATCAAAGAAGACGGTCAATAGGGCCAATAAAGCGGTTGATAGATTGCTATGCCCAAAAAAAGTTGCAATTCTTTAGAGTTTCAAACCATTTGCTGGCAAAGCCGTAAAGCCGCGCATACTTTCGGTCAAAATTAACTACCGTAAAAGCTTTAATAGTAGCCCCCCTCTAACAGTGTCCTAGAGGGTCAGCAGTTTACTTTTTTTGCTTTTTACTTGCAAAGTCAAAGCCGTACACTTTCTTTCAAATGTTTCTTTGCATGTCATCATGTTTTTGCATTCGTTTTCAAAGTTAGAGTAGCGAGTAGCGTGCCGAGCGGCTCTCAACTTTGGAAGGTTATATAAAAAAGTTGAAAGATTGAATCGATTTGATAATGGGCACCGTTTTAGGAGATATACTTAAGATTTATGTCCAGAAAAAGCAGATCGATTGACCCAATTTTGGTCAATCTAGGCCCTCTGAAGTGCGGCGGTATAATTGTGAACCGCGCTCTTAGGATTTCTTGTAAAAAAAAGTAGTAAAATAGTAAAAAGTAGGCAATAAAATATAGTAAAAAGTAGGCAATAGTGAAACGTAGTAGTCGTAAAATAGTAAAATGTAGGTTAGAAAAAGGTGACTCACTTTACAAGTGACGAGATCCGTTTTCAAATGCCCATCAGCGTTGACGCCCGTCCACAAGAGAAAATCAATGTTTGCACTAGAATTTTGAATAGATTAAGATGGTAAGAAGATTTATTTGAGAAAAATTCGTTTGAAATTGATGTAAATTGCTGTAAATTGCTGTAAATTGCTGTAAATTGCTGTAAATTGCTGTAAAACACGAAAAAATGAGCCTACTTTTCAATCAACAACGGCGCTGTTCCAATTAACTCCCCGGCGTTCGTCTCAATGGTGAACATTGTTGACACAGAGATGTTAAGACTTTTACCCTGAATTTGTTTTATTTCTTGAAGAACTTTGATAAGCTTTGATTGTTAAAGCTTCATTTTAAGCTATTCATTGCTAAAGCTTCCTTTTAAGCATCTCATTGTTAAAGCTTCCTTTTAAGCATCTCATCGCTAAAGCTTCCTTTTAAGCATCTCATTGTTAAAGCTTCCTTTTAAGCATTTTATTGCTAAAGCTTCCTTTTAAGCATCTCATTACTAAAGCTTCCTTTTAAGCATCTCATTGTTAAAGCTTCCTTTTAAGCTTTGATTGTTAAAGCTTCCTTTTAAGCATCTCATTGTTAAAGCTTCCTTTTAAGCATTTTATTGCTAAAGCTTCCTTTTAAGCATCTCATTGTTAAAGCTTCCTTTTAAGCATTTTATTGCTAAAGCTTCCTTTTAAGCATCTCATTACTAAAGCTTCCTTTTAAGCTTTGATTGTTAAAGCTTCCTTTTAAGCATCTCATTGTTAAAGCTTCCTTTTAAGCATTTTATTGCTAAAGCTTCCTTTTAAGCATCTCATTACTAAAGCTTCCTTTTAAGCTTTGATTGTTAAAGCTTCCTTTTAAGCATCTCATTGTTAAAGCTTCCTTTTAAGCATTTTATTGCTAAAGCTTCCTTTTAAGCATCTCATTACTAAAGCTTCCTTTTAAGCTTTGATTGTTAAAGCTTCCTTTTAAGCATCTCATTGCTAAAGCTTCATTTAAAGCTATTCAACTAACCGTCCATTGCAATCCTTTGCCCGGTTGTGATTCCAACTTTGACCGAAATTGTGTCTCATCAAATGAAAGCACTCGTTGTGATAATAGAGCCACTTTGATCTAGAAAATATGATTTTTAAACAATGTTTCTTGTAAAGTTTGAGATTAGAAACACAAAATACAAACCTACTTCAGGACTAATTGATGAAGAAATGTTGAAATTGAGATCCCCGGCAGCCATGAAACGATTCACTCGATCTTTCAGATAATCGGATAACAAGTCGAGGCCCTGAATTCTTAGGTAAAGTCACTTTTTGTAATATAAAATGTTGCTATAATAAAGAAATAAAGAAATCTTAAAGAAATAAAGAAATCCAAAAGAAATTTCAAATACCTTTTGATTGACTCTTGAGTAAAAGCCGGCATTTGTTCCGGTTTCGGCGAAGAAGCTATCTGAAAAAGTAAAGTTTACACAAAAGTTTTTAAACTCAAATCAATTTTCGAGTCAATACTCGTCAAAATAATAGTAAAGTGGTGATTATGGGTTAAAATTTGAATTGAATTTCTATGAAAATAACTAATTTCGAGCTCAAATCTCGTAAAAAACGCGGGGTAGGCTAATTTTCGCATTTTTTTTGCGCAACAGGGTCATTTGCGCAACTGGGTCATTTGCGCAACTGGGTCATTTGCGCAACTTGGTCATTTGCGCAACTGGGTCGTTTGCGCAACAGGGTCATTTGCGCAACTGGGTCATTTGCGCAACAGGGTCATTTGCGCAACTGGGTCGTTTGCGCAACAGGGTCATTTGCGCAACAGGGTCGTTTGCGCAACTCGCCATAACTTTCTTCTAAATGGGCGAATCTTTATGATTTTGGTGTCATTTTGTTGCACTTATTGAGATCTACAAAATGAAACCAAGATCATAAAGATCACCATATCATAAAAACCTGTCAAACTAAAAACGCATCTAAATTGCTTCAAATCTGCTGGATTGCGATGATGTTTAGCTCAATAGGTAGATGATCTCAAGAGCTTTCGAATGAACTAAAGCACAATCAAAAAATATGAATGCTAAAGAAAGTTACAGTGGTTTAGCCTGACTCGATCGCTTCGACGATGCGAGTACGGTCTTTTTCGATTACAAACCACTGTAACTTTCTTTAGAATTGATTTTTTGGATGTGTTTTAACCCATTCGAAAGCTCTTGAGATCATCTATCTTTTGAGCTATCGATCATCACAATCCAGCAGATTTGAAGCAATTTAGATGCGTTTGTAGTTTGACAGGTCGCTATTTTGTAGTTTATAGTGTCTACAGTAAGTTCATTGTCTATTAAATCCTTGTCTATTCAGTCATTTTCTATTAAATCATTAGAAACTTACTGGCAATACTTTGTGTTTCGATCGGTGCTATGAGAAAAGTGATTGTGAAGAGGAGGGGGAGTATCAATGACCATTTCATTGCACCCCCTCGCACCCTTTGAGTGCCACCGCTATGGGCGCCTATTCTCTGAAAATGTATGTTTAAAAAAAATGTACTTCTTTTGCTCTCGAGTAATGCGTTTTCTTAGAATGCATCTATTTGAGTAAACTACGTTATTTTCCATTCAATCCGTCCGATTTTAGTCTCATTCGATGAGGAATTAAAAGGCTTAATCAATGATTCGAAAATTGGGTTGATCGGGTGTAAACGAACGGCTTTACTGCAATAGTTTTCTCAAATAGATGCATTTTAGAAAACGTATTGCTCAAAAATAGTACATTCTACTTAAGAAATTGTAAGTTATGCAAAGAAAACAAGAGACAAAAAACATATAAAGCTTGAGATTAACTGAAAAGATTAATTTGGTAGCTTTTGTACTCAGAAATAGACAAAATAACATCATTTCTAGATTATAAACATGAAACTTTTCATAAACTAGCTTTACTGGCAATCAAATAAGGACAGATAAATATATTAGCTTTAAGAGAAGAGCTTATAGAGCTAGAAAAAAGGTAAGACTGGGAAATTTCATCTACTTCAACACTGAAGCTTTACTGAAGCTTTACTGAAGCACTTCAACACTAGCTTCAATGTTGAAGTAGATGAAATTTTCAGAGCTATAGTCAGAGCTAAAGTCATAGCTAAAGTCATAGCTAAAGTCATAGCTAAAGTCATAGCTAAAGTCATAGTTAACGTCAGAGCTAAAGTCAGAGTTAAAGTCATAGTTAACGTCAGAGCTATAGTCAGAGCTAAAGTCAGAGCTATAGTCAGAGCTAAAGTCATAGCTAAAGTCATAGCTAAAGTCATAGCTAAAGTCATAGCTAAAGTCAGAGCCAAAGTTAGAGCTAAAGTCAGAGCTAGAGTCAGAGCTAAATACACTGAATTTCTCTCTCAAATTTATAATCAAAATCATATGCTCAGTAAAGACAAATATTTCTCACGTAATCACATGATAGAAGCCGGTTTCCATTATAAAACTCTAACACAGCAGTGTAATGATTAATTAGAAGTGCTCAAAGAAAGAAAAATGAAGGTAGCTCAATCATCAAAAGTCAAGAGAAAGAAAGGTAAAAGAAAGAGAGAAAGAAAGGTAAAAAGTGGGGAAAAAAAAGAAAAAGCAAGCGAAATGGTGAGGAGAACATGAAGACCTTGTGAGGGAAAGGAGAAAGACAGAGAAGACAGGGAAGACAGTGCTGTAATGCGAGTTTATGAGGTGAATCTCTCCAAGAACGTCCTCAAGGTCGATTTTCCCATTTGCCCGTTTCTTAGAACTTGAAATCGAAAAAGCTTGCGCGCTTTTGTTTGAACTTTTTTAGTTAATTAGTGAAGTCGGTAACAGTACCGTGCCGTCTACAACAAAGGAATCTAGAAAAGCGTTGAGTAGTGGGAAAACACAAGTAAGATTCCTTAAAGATTCATCCTTAAAGAACTGAAAAGCTTTTATGTGAAAAACGGCACTTTAGCGCACTACAGCTTACAGCGCGCACTACAGCTTACAGCGCGCACTACAGCTTACAGCGCGCACTACAGCGCGTAGTCTTCAAGACCGTTTTTCTCTAGGTTTTTATTAAAGAGTATACAAAACAAATTCGACTTTTCTATAGCCAAATTTAATGAGGATTCTTTTAAAAGCAATCAAAGGTCTTATACTTCGAGTTATAGACCGTCAACGTTGATTGACTTCTGTGGGTAGGTAAGTCAACTTTGAGAGAGATTTTCTTTTGGCTCTTGACTTTTGAATAAAAGCGATCTCTTGACTACATGAAAGTGATCCCTTGACTACATGAAAGTTATTTACAAGTTGAATCAGCATAGGAGTCTATAGGGTACCTTGATCCTGAATCGATTTCGATCTTCGAGCTAGGATCATTCCCTTGTAAAAGTCTCAAATTTGACATTTCATCAACAAGTGTACAGTAGTTGATAAAGAATGGCCATTCAAGACCATTTAGCAGTTTATACGTACAGTCAGTTAGTAAATCATTGAAAGGATTCTCCAAAAATGATTTACTATCGAGCGTGATTTATTAGGTTGTTCGGATATAAACAAGCGTTGCTAAACTGCTAAACTGCTGAACTTATTGTTGTTAGAGAAGCTTTTAAAACATGCCTTTCTGTATTTAAAAGTACGTTATCTTGTGCATATTTGGAATATTTTTAAGCGGATAATTTCTTATTTTTAAGATCTTTTTTCTTGCTTTAGATTGCCGAGCCTGGTTCCAACGGCTTCAAATTTCAAGTTTGCGTCTGTCTACTTTACGACTTCAAACTGGGATTCCGCTACAAAACAGTAGCGGAATCCCATTGAGATTTGGTCAAAGCATTTGGTAATGATGTATTGTTCGAAAGCCGATGCCGAGCCTGGTTCCAACGCTTTCGGAATGGTGATGAAAGTCTCGAGGATGATGTACACTGTCGTCGATCTCAAGCAGTAAACAACGATACTTTGTGGTCTGCAATCGAATCGAATCCATGTCAAACGACGCGTGAACTTGCTTGCTACTTGCTCAACAGTTTCTATGTTCAAATTCTACTATTGATGAGCATCTCCATGTCATTGGAAAGACAATCAGATGCGGGAAATGGCTTCCTCACGAGTTAAGCAGTGCAAACGCTCGTTTATAGCCGAATAATCTAACACTATCGAGCTTTTTCCCCTTGTATTTTCTTAAGCGTTTTCAAAAGTGATTTACTATCGAGCGTCGACTGTATCTAGAGATAATAAAGAAGTGAAGAAATTGACAAGAAAAAGTATATTTCCGGATTGAACCCCTCTCCGGGTTCAATCTCCTTTTTGCTTTCCGGGCAATTGCTCTAACCATTGATCTATTTGGTACCTTAACTTGCCATGAGAAAGAAAGAAGAGGGAAGAAGAAAGGAAGAAAGAAAGAAGGAGTAGTTGACGTAGTTGATGTAGGGAAAATAGATTTAAAGAACTAAAAAGTATAAAGCATAGCAGAAAAGAACCACTTTTCTGCACAGATTCTAACAATGTTTATAAGGTATAAGGTTTAAAAGCTATTAGATAGGAAACTTGAAATTTGGTACACTTATTCATTGCACTTTTTAGAAATAACTATTGCGCTGGATGGACGGATGGACAGACACTCTTTTATATATAGTAGATATCATAAAATAAGCATGCTTATTACCATAGAAAAGTCACAAGTCAAAAGGAAAGCAATGAAATGAAATTCATAGAGTTTTGCGATTCCCAAAGAGAAAACTTTGACAAGATCAATTCAATGTTTTTACAAACGAAAAAAACCAAGTCGATGCTCAGCACGGCACGCAAATTGTGGCGCGGGATGGGGGACGAATGGGGGAGAAGAAAAACGAGAAGCGGTTGGGGGAAAAGAGGAGAGTGAAAGTGCTCCTCATTCGCCTTCCTCGGGGTGGAATGAGAAAAGAAATGAGAAAAGAAATGAGAAAAAAGGAATCAAGAGACTTAGCTCATCCATCCACCGATCGATTCAGCCATTCAACAGTGGTGATTGATGGATTGGGGATGACTTGGAGTGTTTGGATCAGGATATTCGCTTTCTAGGCTAAAGGTCTTCTTGGGTTGAGCAGCCGGGAAGGAGAAAATTATGGAGGCAGAATGGATATTGAACTTAGGATCAAAAATGTTTCCATGTCAAGAGAAGGGAGATTAGGCCCTTTGTGCCTTTTCCGATGATATATAGATCATTCGACGCAGAATTTTACGCTGATTCGAATGATGTAAAAATTCGCTGCCGAATGGCGGGTAATCACCGAAAAACTGGCCTAAAAGTTTTCAGTCTCTCCTTTTAGGCCGATTTTTGTTCAGCAAACCGTTTATCCAGTGGTAGGTGGCCAAGTGGTTGAGTGGTTGTACAGCAAGCTGAGGGTCAAGGCTCATGTCTTTTGGCTCATGTCGTATGGCTCATGTCGTATGGCTCATGTCATTTGGCTTCTGTCTTTTGGCTCATGTCATTTGGCTCATGTCATTTGGCTCATGTCATTTGGTTCATCTCATTTGGTCACCAGAGTCTTCCCTTGTGAGTAGTTGGACACGCCGGTCCTTTTATGACTTGGGGCTGGGCATACAAAACATGGTTGGCGCCGGGATTCGAACCTGTGACCTCTCGCCTACCAGCCGAACGCTCTAGCAATGAGCTGCACCGACACGTATCCCATTGTCGCCAGGATATGCTTTACTACTGATTTGGCCATTATTTTAGATTTGCTACGGTATCTCGTTCCATCTCAAAGGCAAAGAGTTGCAAACTTTTGCATTCTTGCACAGTTGAACACGCCAAATCCTGAGAATATAAAGCTGTGAACACAAATCACACTTCGATTTCGATTCCTTGGCCTTTCGTGCGCTTGTCTGGTAAACGCTCTAGACATTTGTCAAAAATAACCCATTTTTGGCTTGACCTACATTGACAATTTTAGATTTCAACCTTTTCTCCATCAGCTCTAAACTGAAAGTGATTTCCTCTGGCAAGAAGATACCGAATAGCTCAGTGATTAGAGCATCTGCATTCTCAGTAGTTAGAGCATTAAAGCAAAGGATCTAGGGTTGAATCCCCTCTCCAGAAATCTTTCTTTGCTATTTCTTTCTTTACTTTATTCAAAATCAAAGTGATTCTTTCAGTAGAAGTAGATAAGAGTTTATTAAAAGTAGATAAGAGTTTACTTATCAAAGCTCATCTTCATTTTTAATCTTCTATAAGGTTATTTCCAAATTCAGAAGTTGAAATCTTTGTGCTAAACGATAAGATAACGATAAGATATCGAATAAAACAACAAACAAAAGCCATTTTTAAATTTCAAATGATCAACATAAAGTCACAATGAAATTCATTAAGAACCCAACCGAATTCACCATAAAATTCCTAGACAAAAAGATACGCTCAACTTGAAATGGATTGATATCTAGAATGTAGAGAAAATCTCGATTTTCTTCTTTCAGAGAAGTGCTCCTTTCAGCCTCAACAATTCAGGCTTTT